TAAAATAAAATAAAATAAAATAAAGGCCAGGGATGTAGCTCAGTGTGAAGACCCTGGATTCAATCCGTAGTTCTGCTGAAACCCAACCAACCAACTAACAAATAAATAAACTATGGATCTAAAAGGTTCTTATGTCAAGTCCTTGAAATTTTCAGTAAGGTAAAGGAGAAAGGTTGGGAAATGTTTGTATTCTAGTGACATCAGGGTCCCAAGGACCAAATCAACAAATGATAAACAAAAATACCAAAAACAAAAGCCTATCAGTGGTGTTATGGCTTGTGTCTAGATGTCCCTCTCAAAGCCTCATGCAGTCATAGGTGGGGCTTTTCAGAGGCATCTGGCTCTAGAGTGTGTGATGCTAGGATCAAAGGTGTGTGATTATTAAATCAGTCCACTGATTGGTTTGGCAGAGTTCTAGGTGTGGACAATGGGAAAGCTCACCCTGGATGTGAGTGCTGCCCACCCAAAGGGTGTGTAACTTGGATAGAATATAAGGGACAGAAAGAGGGCTGCTGTGGCCACTTGCTGCTTGCTGCTTTTGCTGCTTTCTGCCTGCCATGGACTGTTTCTCCTCTGCTGTGCCCCCCTGCCATGCCACCCTGCCTGCAGTCAGATGACTATGGACTGAAAGCTCTACAAATGTGAGCCAGATGTAGCAAGTGCAGTGTGAGGGCCAGGCCAGAAATTTCAGAGTGGAGCTGTGGGGGCTGTGCAGATGCCCAGGCAACCTATGAGTTTCCAGTCCTGTGCCGTCTGATGTAACAGCCCATAGCCTCATGTAGCTATTTCATTATAACTGAAATAAAATCAAGGATTCAATTCCACTAGTTGGTATAGCCACAGATAGCTAGGCAACTGAAGGAGATAAAAATTAGCCAATCTGGAATATTGACTATTTTGAGTTACAGGAACTTGAAAAACAGCAGGTGCAAGAAGATTACGCTGATCTTTCTATTTCTTAAAAACAGGGTGAAAGTATGAAGTGAGAGACACCCTCCTTACATCCAGCAGCCATGTTCTTATGGCCAAGGGCAGGACACCACAGATGAGGGAAATCTGCACAGATATGCCCCATTTGACAAATCCTTCTTGTCTAGGGCACCTCTCCATCCAGTTAACTGCCCTAGCCCATTCCTCCTTTCCCTGTCACATTTTCACAACCTCCTGCTCAGTGTAACTCAGTATGTAAGTACTTGTCTCTAACTGTGTCTTTCGGTCTTGTCTTCATTTCCTCCTGCCACGTAAAACTTGGGTGACATAAGTTTGTTTTGTTTTTAGTTTGTATATTTTTCTTCTCTTATTTTGGTACCAGGGATTGAACTCAGGTCTTTGTGCTTGTGAGGCAGGTGGCAGAACCACTGAGCTAAATCCCTGGCCTTGTTTTTCTTCTCTTAATTCACCTTAAGTCAGTTTAATTCTTAGGCCCAAGTGAGAAACAGTAAAAGAGTAGAGGTAAGATTTTTGCCTTCCCCTCAGAGTCATATGGGACAGCACAGAATTTCCACCATTGCAGAATGTTCTAGAAACATCTCCAGCCTAGACTCTAGAGTCTTCCTAATCAAAGTGATTCATAAACCAGCAGCAGTGATAGTAGCTTGGAGTTGTGGAAATGTAGAGCCCCAAACCCTTTGCCCACTTCTTCTGAATTATAATCTGCACCTGAACTAGATCTCAGGGGTGTCAGAATTTTTTTTTTCTTTTTTTGATACTGGGGATCAAACTCGGGTCCTTGCACTTGTGAGGCAGGTGGCGGCACCACTGAGCTAAATTCCCGGCCCTCAGAATTTGAAAGGCTGTGGCCTGTGACACCAGGTGGGTTCTACAAAGCTGAGTGGGAAGGGAATGGATACAAGACTTAAGCTCCAGACATGAGAAAGCCCTAAGCTCCCAGGTATCAGCTGTTCTTTGGGTCTGAAGAAAACAGATAGAAGATCAGGCCTCATCCCACCATGGCCACCAGTCTTCCCTGCAGAAGGCAACTTCATGGCACTTGTCAGGTGTTGGAGGTTAGAAAGTTCCGCTGAAGTCTTACACTCTTTGTCCTGGTCCCTGAGACACAGTCAGCTTTAATCTGCTTTGTCCTTTGTACAAATGTTTGAATGCGGCTTCTTTACTCCTCTGACCGCACTCCCCTGCAAGTGAAGGAGACCAGCTCAGACTCTTCTGTGTCCAGGACATTTTCCTTGGATGCTGTCATTCTGGATAGCCAGAAGCCAATTCCCTTAGGGAGAGGTGGGCTTGGGTTCAGCAGAATGCTGGAGAGTTTGAACTATCGAGCCCCTCCCCCGCACAGTGCCACCAGAATTTTGCTGGCATTGTGCCCTCCGGTCCAGGTCATGAGGAACAAGTGTTTCGCCACCTTGAGATATGGAGAACCCCTGCTGTTAGGGCCTCACATCCAGTCGGCTCTGGTCTGCTGCCCCTGCCATCGGTGGAGTGCAGTGGGGCACACCCTGCTCCCTGGATAGACCAACATCCTTCCCTTTACCCACCCGTTCTGATTTCAGATCCTTCACACATGCCTTGACACAAGAGAGCTTTAGAACTTTGTTCTTTTTACTATCCCTCACTCCTTTTATCCTAGCCCCTGTCAGTGGCAAGTCCAAATACATTTTCATTTTTAAGAATTTGAACTTTTTAATAAATTTTTATTTGTATCAATCCACATTGACAGCACATGATTATTACATTCATCAGGAGGGATTGGTGCGTGTACATAACACATCTGAATTATTATTTCACCCCTTCCTCTTTCTCCCTGCTCCTTTTCTGTGTGTGTATTTTTTTGGGAGGGGGTACTGGGGATTGAACTTGGGTCCTTGTGTTTGCGAGGCAGGCAGTGGTACCACTGAGCTAAATCCCTGGCCCTGCTCCTTCTGTATCTTGGGCTCCTCCCCATTTGCAGAAGCTCTGTCTCCATTGTTTCCCTCTCAATTCTTTTTCTTTTCATTTCCTTTCCCTCCCCTCCTTTTTACCTCCCCCCGTCTTTTGTTCCCTTACCATTTGGAAAAAATCACCTCCCTTCCTATTATCTTTTCTTTGCTCTTTATTCCAAGTTCATGTCCAATGCAGTTGACTGGCTGGAGGCTTGAATATTTTATTTACTTACTGTGGTTGGGGACAGTGGGAAAGGTTAGGTCATTTATGTTTGAAGCCCAGAACACCTGTGGAAGATTAGACAAGAAATTGAACAAACATCTTTCTTTACTTGCCTTCACTACAACTCTAAATGTGCTGAGCTAAAATTTTTAGCTCAGGTTCTGATTCAGGTAGAAGTTGGGTGTCGGATCCTTTTATGAGCAGGTGCATGCAGGCATTACACCAGGGGCCAGGCAAGGTGCTCTGTCTGTTTGCCTTGTATTTTTTGGAAGATACAAGAAGAACATTGCAAACAGCTACATTTTTCAGCACTCACCAAGTGTGCTCATTTGGTGCAGGATAGAGGGCATGCTCTCAGGTATATGCTAAAGAGGACCAGAAGAGGCTATACCATGGCTCCCACCTGGAAGGCCCCTATAATCTGACTTGGGAGGCAAATGTACTCCTGCTCAAACCCCAAGCTTGAAAGCTAGGTGTGGTGGTGCACACCTGTGATCCCAGCACTTGGGAGGCTAAAGCAAGGAGATTGCTGCAAGTTCAAGGCCAGCCTGACGACATAGCAAGACCCTTTCTGTCTCAGAAAACCCCCCTGAAAAAAGCCATGGCCGAAATCAGACTGTGTAAGATATAACAGTAGAGGTTTCCTAAAGGCCTGCCCTGATCATGTCTTCACTTTTTTTTTTTTTTAATTAGAGCAACAACCAGCAGGGTTCCAATGTCGACTCTTCCTACCTGGAGTCTTTCTTTCAGAAGTGTCCTAGGGGAGTTGTGCCATTTCAAGCAGGTTCTCGGAACTACGAGCTGAGTTTCCAAGGTGAGTCTTGTGAGCAGTTTGTCAGTGTTGTGTGTCATTGAAATGTAGCGCCCAGGTGAGGGCTCATTTAGCAGGGTGAGCAGTTGTGGCTGTTAGGCCTGTACTCAGAGCCCCAGCTCTGACAGACACTCGCTGTACCCCTGGGGAAGGACACCCTGCCTTTCCTGCCTCAGCTCCCTCAGGTGGAAAAGCAGAGGATGACAGGAAGTAGCTCTGGGAGCAGCTGAATTTTCAGTGGAGGTTATGAGGCTTTGGGTACGTGCAGAGCTTTAGAAACTTTTTTGTTTGTCGGTTTGTTGGTATCGGGGATCGAACTCGGGACTTTGTGCTTGTGAGGCCGACGGCGGAACCACTGAGCTAAATCCCTGGCTCAAGCTTTAAAAACTTGCTGTTCCTTCTAGGTTTCCTCATTTAGGCCAATAGTTTTATCCATCACATTGACTAAAGCACTTTGCCTTCTGCTGTATTAACTTGAACCAGTTGAGCAAGGTCTTTTACTTAGCTTCTGCTGACTTCTCTGCTGTGTTTAGTAACAAAGCAGAGCCGGAGCTGCTCTCCCTCTGAAAGTGCCGTCCCATCAACACAACCCCAGGACACTCCATGCCCCTTGTCAGGGACTCTAGGACTGGCTGGGGGGGGTATTTTGGCAGAAGTGAGACTTTCTCCACCCCTGTGCGTTCCACATGGTACCTGAGATTTAAATCCTGTACCACTTGGTGTTCAGTACCATAACTTTCTACTTTTATTTTTATATTTCTGTGGTGGTGGTGGTACTGGGAATTGAACCCAGGGCTTCTTCACTGAGCCCCATCCCCAGCCCTTGTTAAATTTTTTATTTTGAGACAGGGTCTCCCTAAGTCACCAAGTTGCCCAGGCTGGACTCAAACTTGTAAACCTCCTGCCTTAGCTTCCCAGGGTGCTGAGAGGTGATACAGCTTTCTTTTGATGGTGCTGGGGCTCAAACCCAGACGAATGTAGCTTGTAAGGACCATTACACCAACTCTTTGGGAAAAGAACTTGGCAAAACTATCTGATGAAGTACCCAGAGAATAGAGGAGGCAGTGGAGAGCACCCATGTTGATCCAAGGAGGATTTGGGATGGGTGGCAGCCTGGGCGCACGGAGGAGGGCGTGGCGAGGGCCAGCAGAGCCCACCCAGGCTGATAGGGCAAAGAAGCTTGATGTTTCAAGGAGCAGGGAGGTCTGCAAACAGCTAGAAACCTGGGTTTTTGTTCTGTTTTAACACAGAAGCCATGGAGAGATTTGTGCAGCACTGCAGCATGATCTAATTAGCTCCTTTGTTTGTTTTTGCTGTCCTGTTTGTTTTGTTACACTTCACCTTTAATGAGGTTTGATTATGACAGTGAAATTCATCCATTTCAAGTGTGTCCCTGGCTGAGTATTGGCAGGTGCATATCACGGCCCTAATCTAGATGTAGAACATTTCTATCATTCACTCAGCATAATGGTTTTCAGATTCATCTATGTTGTTGCATGTGTAACAGTTTTCTGTTGCTGAGTAATATTCCATTATAAAGATATATTATCATTTTCACATCTATTCATCAGTTGATGGACATTTAGGTAGTTTCCACCTTTTGGATATTAGAAGACTGTAGGGCCGGGGATTTAGCTCAGCGGATCGGTGGCCTGCCTTGCAAGCGCAAGTACCCGACTTCAATCCCCAGTACCAAAAAAAAAAAGCTGGGTATCGTGGGGCTCGCCTGTAATCCCACCACTCAGGAGGCTGAGGCAGGAGGATTGCTGGAAGTTCGAGACCAGCCTGGGCTACATAGTGAGTTCCAGGTCAGACTCAACTACATAGTGAGACCCTGTTTCAAAAGAACAAAACAAAAAACAACAAAAAAAAAGAAGAATGTAGCTATGAATATTCCTCTGAAGTCTCTGTGTAGATATAGGTTTCCATTAGTCTTTAAATATCCAGGAGTGGAGCTGGGGGTGGTGATGCACGCCTGTAATCCCAGCACTCAGGAGGCTGAGGCAGGAGGATCGCTGTAAGTTCAAGACCAGCCTGGGCTACACAGTGAATTCCAGGTCAGTCTCAATTACATAGTGAGACCCTGTCTCAAAAAAACCAAAAAAACAAACCTAAATATCCAGGAGTGGAATTGCTGGATCATATAGTAACACATTTAACTTTATACGACAATGCCAAACTATTTTCCAGAGTGGTTGTGCCATTTTATGCTCCTACTAGCAAAATACATAATAACAGGGTTTCGCTCTGCAGTTTGGGCTGGCCTTGAATTCAATATGCAGACCAGGGTGTCCTTGAACTCAGAGCCATCCTTCTGCCTGAGCCTTTTGAGTGCTGAGATTACAGGCATGTGTCATTATGCCCAGCATGATTTACTTCTTTCTTTTTTTTCGTACCGGGGATCAAACTCCAGACCTTATGCTTGCAAAGCAGGTGACAGAACCACTGAGCTAAATTCCCGGCCCATGATTTACTTCTTATAAGGATTATTGTCACAGCATGAATTGGAAGATGGCGTTTCATGCTTGATGTCCAAAGATTTGGCTAACACATGCCAAATCACTGCTTTCTGGTTTGGGGCCGCCTGTGTGAATGATGTCTGATTGTCTGGTATACCAGTTCTCCTCTTTTAATATCCAACTTTGAATTCAATATTAGGTTTATTCTTCAATGTTCACTTTTGACTTTGCATTCTGAATCTTTGAATAAGCCGTGGGGGTTATAAATGTCTTATCTCGAGCAGTTTTCATCCCGACTCACACACTGGAACTCGGTCGCGAACATGTGCCATACAAATAGCTTCTGAAACATGAGTCATTTTCTAGAATGATGCTTGATTCTTGTTTGTTTTATTTTTTGTCTAAAGGGATGATTCAGACAAATGTAGCTTCCAAGACTCAGAAGAATGTTGTCCGAAGGCCAGCATTTGTTTCTGCGCTGGATGTGGAGCAGATGAGAAAGGGGGCAGAGTAAGTGTTCTGCGGCCCTGATAGCTGGCAGATGTGTGAGATGTTTGTGCACTCGTCTCATCGCATCACTCGTACGTCTGGATCCGGTGTTCTTGAGAAGTCCCTGCTTGCATGGCACTGCAGTTTCCTTTTGCGTTGTCTTTGAGCGAGGTGGCTGTTAAGCGGGTGCCATGGCTGGCCGGGGAGTGGGCATGCGTGGGTTGTAGCTTAGAAGTGGTGCACTTGCATAGCATGCATGAGGCCCTGGGTTTCCATCCGCAGCACTGGAAAACACAGGCACATGCTTCCACATCAGGTCAGGAAACCAGTGTGTGCCTCTGACTCATAGGGGATTTTATGTCCAGCTCTTAAATATTCTGGGCCTCAGCTTCCCCAGCTGTGGATGGCTGGATTAGTGGGGAATGCCTAAGAAATCATCAAATGCACCAGAGTTTTTGTTTTGCTTGGGATTCTTCCTTGTGTTTTTGGTTGTGTGTGATTTATAGAGAATGAAATGAGAGAGAGACAAGGGTGAGGTAGCTGCCTGAATAAAGGTTTTGGAAAAAGGTCAAATTGAGTAAAAGGTTTCTTTTGGTTTTGTTGTGAGGCAGGGTCTCACTTTATAGCTCAGGCTGGGCTCAAATTCAGTATGTAGTCCAGGGTGGCTTCAAACTCATGGCAATTCTCCTGCCTCAGCCTCCTGAGTGCTGGGATTACAGGCATGTGTCATTAAGCCTGGCTTAAAGGAGTTTTTAAAGTTTTATTTTATTTTTAATTGACTTAGTTTTACCAATTTATAGTAAAGGGGAATTTAAACGGAAATTTTGCTGTGGGAGAGTCATTGTAACTTTCTTCCCTGTTTCCAAAACTTTCAGTAGAAATCTACACTGTACACGATCATCTTTGAAGTTGGATTTTTTTTCTTCAAATGATATGTGATTATGGAAACAGGTTTCAAGGCAGGTATAAAATTGAGATATTCTAATTAGGTCTTTTTGGTTGTAGGAATTGAAGGTATTTCATGAAAAGGATAAACCTTGAGGGAATGTGGTAAATACTATCTGATGAGAATAGGACCTGGAACTGGAAATGAGCCATTGTAGGACCTCAGGAAGGGGAGTTAGTTCGGGTCCATTCTCCTGTGGAATCAGAGCACCCTAGGGTCACAGGTCCTTGTCTGTGACCAGGTCAGATACTGGACTTTGGCCCATCTAAATTTAAAGTCTGTCCACTGTTCATTCACTATGGGGGTTTGGACAAACAAATCACACTGCACCTTCCCTTCTACAAAATGGGCTTAATAATAGTATTTTTCTGGAGGTTGCTTGATTAATACATTCTAGGCATGCAGAACAATGGCCAGGACACTAGTTCAGTAAATTGTAGTAATATCTGTGGTTATTATTTTTATTTCCCTGCTATTTATAGACAGTGGTGCTTCACACACACACACACACACACACACACACACACACTTCCATCTACCTGCAGGTTTCATTTTCTGCAACTTCAGTGCCTTCCTGTCAACCACAGTTTGCAAATGTAGTACAGTACAAAAAGATGCTGCCTTACAGATCTTGAGAGAACCACATTCACATAACTCTTATCACATGATATTGTGGTAACAGGGATCGAATTCAGGACCTTGTGCTTGTGAGACAGGCACATTGCTGTCCCCCACCATATTGTTATAATTGTTCTATTTTATAATTGTTAATTTCTTACTGTGCCTAATTATGAATTAAAATTTATGATATGTGTAGGAGAAAGCAACTGTTTTTGCAGCATTCAGTTCTCTGCAGTCTCAGGCATCTGCTAAGGGTCTTGGAAAAGTGTTCCTTACAGATAAGAGGGAGTTACTTTATATGTGTAAATAAGATGACTGAATTTTAACCTTAGAATTTCAATCTGCCTGTCCTTTCCAACTCGCGTTCTGCCACTCATTGCCTACTTTTCCCTTTCTGAATTTGACTTCCCTAGAATTAGAATCAAATTGATCTATTTAAGTTCATTTCCAGCACTTTTATAAAAGGTTCAAATTAATAAAGAAAAATATTGCAGGTTAAGAGAAAAAGAATACATGGGCTGATCAAGAAATACAGTGAAGATTAAAAAATGTAAAAATTTATTACAGTAAAAAACACATTAGCATTAACATCCCTGGAAGTACTCGCCCTTGTTTCAAGCACACTTATCCTAATGTTCTTGCCCCCTTTTTTTGGAACTGGGGATCAAACTCATCCTTGCACTTGTGAGGCAGGTGGCACAACCACCAAGCTAACTCCCCAGCCCTCTTGACACTTTCTGAAGCAGTTCTCGCAGTCCTTTTTCATGAGTGTCTGCAGTTGTATTGTTGAGGCTGCCTTAACGTCCTGAAACAATTCAAAATGTTTACTTTTCAACCTTCATTTTGACTTCAGAGGAAGACCCAGAAGTTGTGTGGGTCTGATCTACTGAGTATGGTGGACGAGGACACACTGTAATGAGCTACTTCAGAAATAATGGGCTAAGTGTGTCCAAAGCAAGGAGTATTGTGAGGCAGGTTAGTCTATGGCTCATAACACTAATTTTGCCTTAAAGGGCATAAATATGGCTGTATCACGCCCACTTTTTTTTTCAAGTACCAGAGATCAAACTCAGGACCTTGTGTTGGCGAGGCAGGTGTAGTGCCACTGAGCTAAATCCTTGGCTCCAACAGCCACTTTTATTCGTTAGAATGTTTCTGTTGATGAATTACCAGCTTCATTTTTATGAGTTTTTATTATTTTAAGTAAGGTTCTATTATATTATACATTGTGTAGTTAAGAGGAACATAAAATATCAACCTCAATTATTATGTATTGTGCCCTTAGAATAAACATCGACATTTTCACATTAGCTGTGTACTTGCTTACAAATCCTAAAAGATAACATCAGAAATAAATTCCAGATGCCGGGGATTTAGCTCAGCAGTTTCGTGGCCTGCCTTGCAAGTGCAAGGACCCGAGTTCAATCCCTGGTACCCCCCCCAAAAAAAGAAAAATCTCTGCTCCAATTGTCACACCCGAGGTAGTCTTCACACATAACAGCTACACGTTCCGTGCACACGCCTCACACTAACAGCAATGTGCTCAGCTTTCCTATGTGGGAGGTCATTCTTGTCACCTCTCATCTTCCTGTTCTGTTAGGAGCTTCCTACTATGTTGTACAATATGGGCTTAGCAGGGAAACTAGCTATCAATAAAATAAAATAGCATCAATAAAATAAGCATCTATAGTTTGGTCACACCTGATGTAGTTCATGCATACATGAAGCTTACATTCTGATTGCTAAGACAGTATATGAGTCATGCACTGCCTCATGTTCCTCTCAGTGCTGGCAACATATATGGTAGTGGTGCTGTAGAATTGTGCCGCCTGGGAACAATGTAGCAGCCTAAGTGTGTGCAAATACATTACACCCCATGATGACTGCAAACAGTGAAATCACCTAGTAGAGTTTCTCATTTTGTATCCCTGTGGTTAAGCAAAGCATGACTGTATTTCAGTTCCTGATAAGTGTTGGGGGCAGAGTAAGAGGCCCTGTTACTAATGGGATCGTAGCAGCTGCTTCTTACTCACTACAGTGACTCTTACAAGATGTCTTGAGAAAATTTTTCCTTAAACTATATTTCCATAAGGCAACACCCTACATTTTAAAAAAGGCTGATACTTTTGTTTTTTTAACAGTTCACATATACCCATGTGTTCTCAACTAGGAAGACCATACTCTCACCTTTCTGGACAGTAGAAACCAGAAGGTTGTTGCCTTTCTTGTCTCCATCCTGCGTGTTTCTTTTGGGACAGTTTATTTGGAGTAGAAGAAATTGGTTTGGAGTATTTCCAGATATGTCCTGTCGTCCATCCCCGTCTCTGTCATTTACATATGTCACAGCTGCCCAGGTTGTCCCTACCCTCCAGGAATACTCCTTTGCCCTCTAGTGAGACGTGCAATTCCTTTGGTTCACTTACCCCATTCTAGTAGCTTGGAGTGCAGTTGTGCATTACATGATGATGATCTGGGAATCCCATCAGCTAGGTGTGTAGTACACTATACACTCAGGCTTGTGTAAGTGAGCTTCATACAACAAACTCACCTAATGTCTCGGATGTATCCCATCTTTCACTGATGCATGCCTGTAGTAGTCACGCAAATGTCAATCCTAGCAAAACCCTTCCTATCCTCTCCTGCACCCGGATACAACTTCTCAAAGCTCTTGAAGTCATTTGTATTGTGTGTGGCACAGAGTGATATGAAATAGAAAGCCGTGCAGGAAAATGAGTTGAGGAACAGTGTCCGTGGGTTTTGTGCAGGGAATAAGTTTTCACGGTGCTGTTCCCAGCCCAGAGGGAGACATAGCTGCTGCGTTTCTTTTTCAAATTTTTTTATTAGTCCATGTTCGCAGTACATAATGCTCACATTCCTCTTTACATCCCCTTTCCTTTCCTTCCCTTCATCTCTTGGAGCCCTTCCCATTTGCAAAAGATCTGTCTCTAGTTCCTATTATCTACTGTTTATTTTGCTCTTTGATTTATTTATGCTTTGGGTTTCTCATGATAGAAAAACCATGCAATATTTAAGCTTGTGTGTCTGATTTATTTCACTTAACATTATGGTCTCAAGGGGAATCCAAGTATAAAATAGAGATAAATCAAGGCCAATCTTTCTCATTCCCAAAGAGTCATTTTACACAACAGTTTGTTCCTGAAGGCGTGTTTAAAAATGGAATTGCTTTGATCATGGTAAATTTCAAACATCAACAACAGTAGAGAGGATTTTATGATAAACTGCTATGTAGCTAATATCAGACAACTGTCATTATTTTACCATCTTGTTTCATCTGTTCTATCAACTATTTTTCTTCCTTTGCTGCAATATTTTTAACGTGTATTCCACATGTATGTAATTTCCCTGTAAAAATTTTAGGTGTCGTGAACAGATGAAGATTGTAAAAAGTGTTATACAATACGCTACCCCACTTAAGAAAAGTGGCAGTAATTCCTTCATATCATTTTACACCCAGTTCATGCTCTGTTTTTTCATTGTCTTAGAAATGACTTTTCAGAGTTCACTTATTCCAGTATCCAAATAGAGTCTGTGCATTGCATTTGATTTGTCCCTTTAGCTTTTTAATGTATTAGTTTTGTTCCTCCACTTTTTTCATATGATTTATTATTTTTTTAAAGAAACCAAGTGATTTAATCTATAGAATTTCCCACTTTCAAAGTGTAACACACTTTATCCTTATAAGATTATTTGATGGGTAATTTCTGTAAATTGATGATAGAATTTGGAGAACTGATTATATTCAGTTTTTGATCAAGAATACTTTGTTAGGGATATACTTCAGGCCACATCTTCCTAAGGAGATTTGGAACATCCCTTTGTCCTAGTGTTAAATCCAACGTCACTTAATGGTCACAGTACCTATTGATGATGATCGCTGTTTAGGTTTGGTACATTACTAAGTTTTACAAAATGGTGATTTTTCTAATCCTCTTAATTCTGTTGCAATTATTAGCTGTGATTCACCTAAAAATAATTTTTCCTCAAGTATGACTATCCTGAAATATAGTTTATACCATACAGGAAAAAGCAGTTTCTTCCCTCCATATCCCCGCTATATTCACATCTTCTTATTCCACAGAGCAGCTGTAAAACATGCTTGCTCCATGATAACAGATTAGAACCTCTGAAAATTGAGCGGAAAGATAAAGCATCAGTATTTTGAAGAGTTACTGCAGTTTTTAAAAAAGCATGAGTATTGGTACATCAGTACCAGGAATATGCAAGGATGTAGTTCAGAGAAAAATAAAGAAACAAGCACTGAAATTTTCTAGAAGGAGACCTTGTCTTCCTGGCTAGAAGAAGTCAAGGATGTGAAGTTACTTGGGCATATGGAACAGGGTGCAAGTGAAATGTTGTTCTGTGTCTGCAGTCCTCAGCGGGTGCAGTTCTCTGTTTCCAGTCCTCAGCCTGCGCACACCCTGCCAGAGGTTATGGGCTCATCATTTGTTCCTCAGAGGAATGTCAGCTCTTCCTCTTCCAATGGATACAAGGTACTTGGTTTTTACTTGACTGATGGGTTAATGAATCCTTTCAGGGTGGGAAAAGTACAGTGATAACAAATGTTGATGTTTGTTTACTGGAATTAATTAATTGCTTCTGTGCAACTCTGGGATTGGAATCCAAAAGCAGTCAAAATGTGATTTGCCTCAGGGTTGAGCTGCACCTGGCCACACCTGGGCAGATCCTCAGGACAACCCTGAGAGATAGATGCCTACACCTCTATTTCATGGTGAGAGTGAAAGTGACTTGGCTCAATGTGCTCCCTTTGTGCCATGCCCTGGTTAGGACAAGACCATTCCTAGGTCATTTAGCCTCCGAATTTCTATGCTGGTCAGTCTGCTTACACTCCATGGGGACATCCGGTTTCTGTGCCACTGCACTGGTTTTGGACCTTTAGGCAAGGAGCTTGTCAGGTCACTGTACTGTTAGAACCACAGAGAACCTCCCTTTGCATAATGCTTTGTTAGCTTTGAGTCAGCCTAAATGGACAGGCCCACTTCCTGTTGGGCTCATTACTGGAAAGAATGGCCAGATGTGGGCGGATGTATGCCCAACTCTCCCACCTGCTGCCTGAGAACTGGCAGTGATATTCATGGAATAGGGGGCTATACATGTGGGCGTAGCGTGCTTTGAGTGTTTCCTGCTTCTGATTTACATATTTTAAAACTTTTTTAGTTGCTAGATCTCGATAACCAGTCTTTGGAATATGCCACAATAAGGGATAATTTCAAAGAGTCCATGAAAAATTTCAAGATCGAAAAGATAAAGAAGATCCATAATCCAGAGCTCTTGAATTCTTTTGAAAGGTTGGTGACCACATTATCTGATTCCCTTACATAATATTATTATTATTATTACATAATATTATTATTAGGAAGGATTAGTTCCTATCTGTCCTATAGTTTTTTTTATTTCAATGATTCTGTTTCTACCACTTAAATGTTTTCATAAATTTATTACTTTACAGTTGTGGTTTCAAAGTGTTTTCCATTTTGAAAGTAGATGGGAGGAAATTTTAAGATGAGGCAGACTTTAGTTGGGACGAGTGTTATCAACAAGCATGGGAGAGAAATGTTCTTGGTGTTAAATCTCACGTTTCCTATAATAGGAGGCGACTGTTGATGACAGAGAAAAAGGAAAGACTCCTATTTTATGCAACAAGCCGCATCCACGTGGATTCTATCTGTGCGAATAATTTTATCTGGACCTTACATGGAACTCATGAAAACAAATATGGACAAGGTTTGTTCCTTCTTCTCTTAAGAGGTGTACATAATTATTTTGTATTAAGCAGCACTTCCTGGGTTTAGAAGTCACGGAGAGAAAATAAGCTAGTGGTAACGTAAATGCCCAAATTAGAATGGCATGGTAGACTTGGGGCTCAAGAGCTGGGCCTTAGTATTTATTGCTCCTGTCTTTTGCTTGCAAATTGTTCCATCTGTGGGTGACATTGCCTGTTATTGCTATCTACTGGCAATGCTCTGCCTGATCCTAATCCATGCTGTTGGAGGTCTATCCCCTCTCAGCCACACTGGGTCACCTGGGATTTGAAGTCTCCCAAGTCTGCCCACATAAAAAATCTTTACACCTATTTCTTTTTGCTCTTAAACTCTTGCATGCAACCCCACCCCCCTTTACCAAGGATCAAACTCAGGAAGTTGTGCTTGCGAGGCAGTTGGGGTGCCACTGAGCTAAATCCCCAGCCCCTTGCATGCAACTCCTCACAAAATAAGCAAACACATTTTTTAAAATGCAAAAAAGAATTGTTCATATTTAGGGAGTAAATAATAGTTTAGTGGGTCCAACTCACGAGTAAGATTAAATTTACATGCATTCTCAAAAAGTAAGAAATTAGTCATTCAGCTAACATTTTGAGTGTCTTTGTACACTGGATGCTGGGCACACAGTGGTGAACAAGTTAAACATGGGCTGAAACAAAAAATTTTCCATAATTAATTGAATGATGCAAATGTACAGCTGCTGTAGAGCAATGGGGCAGCTGTAACCCAGATCCAGGATGCTCCCAAGAAAGGGGTATGGGAGGATTCACCTGCCTCGTAGAGTCAGGGTGTAGACAGTGAGGGACAAGCCCTACAAGAGACGGCCGTACAGTAAAGAGTTCAGGTTTGACCAAGGACAAGGTTAATGAAAGGTTTTATGCTGCAGAATGATGTGCAGTGGTAAGAATTTCATGAGTTTATTAAGTTTAAATGCATTAGTGAAACATCAGATATATTTGGAGGCTATGGGGTCACTATCTTAAGTGACACATGATGTGAAATTTAAACTGGTCAGTTTCTCGTGTGTAGAACTGTTCATATAGTGTAGTACTAGCCATGAACAAATTAACATAATATGATTCTGGACTGTACACACACACACACACACACACACACACACACACACACACACGAATGTATTCGAACAGTTGTGAAAAAATTTCTACCTATTTGTGAATTGCCCGGGGAGAAGGAATGGGACTGGATATGATGGTGGAGCTAGTGTGTTATTCAGCTTTGCGTTACTACAGTGAGATTCCCAGGGGAACTAACTTAACAAGACATGGTTTATTCACTTCGTGGTTTTTGAAGTTCAAAGGTATGGTGCCTGCATTGGCTTCATTCTGGTGAGAGTGGTGGGTGGTGCCAAAACAGTCATGTCTCTGACTACAGCACAGACAGAGGAGAGATGGGGGATGTTGCGGTCCTCTTCAAGGTCTCATCTCCGCCCTCCACGACTTAAGAAGGAAGCTCCCTGTCCCGTCCATCTCCTGGATGCCGCCTCCTCCCAATAGTGGTTCTCCAGGAACCAAGCTTTAAAGGTTTAAACCCATCAGGGACATTCAACATTCAAATCATAGCTTTCTTGGTTTTCTTTTAATGCAGTACAAAATCATTCATCCAGAATACCCAGTATCCGATCTATTCATGATAAACCGACCATGTTTTTGGAGTTAAAACATTTATTAAAAAGATGATAACAAACGTAGTAATGGAAATGTATGAAGCAGTTGTTATCACAAAGAAAAAGACTTCATTTTACATATTAATTTTTGTATACAAATCAGAATTTGCATCATCTCCTTTAAAATGGCAGAAAAGCATTTGGCAGTGAGAAAAGTATAAATAGGAAACTTTCATATGCCAGGAACTTGTTTATCTGCCAGCTCTGGAAAGCTCCATGGTTATTCGGGGTGTTTTGAAGTTAAAGGATTGCACATCAGCTATCTTTGGAAGTCTTGGTTAGGTTCAGTTCCTTGCCTATCTTTCCCTTTGACATTTTCCAGGACCTTCCCATCAGTATTAAATGTCATTTGTACCTTGAAATGGCTGCAGTGCGAAGTGGCCTCTCCTCTGAAACATCTTTGGCTCATCAGTTCCAAATTCAACTTTTCCTGCCCAAGTCTCACAGATTGTGTGCCCAGTGCCTTGCTGTGTGTCCCTGCCATTCCCATGGGCTTGTCTGTATTATTTAAGTGTACTTGTGGATACAGTTTTAAATTTAAACTTTATTTTTATTTTCTGGTACCGGGGATAGAGCTCAGGACCTTGTGCTTGCCAGTAGGTGTGACACCACTGAACTAAATCCCCGGCCCGTACACTTTTTTAAAGTACAAAGGAGATTTCTGTGTGTCAGTATGGTTGACCTGTACTTAGTCTGCTATGTCGTCAGAGTCTCTATAAGTAATCTTATAAATCATAAAAATTCTTTTATAATAATTCTCAAACCTTTTCTTTTTCTGATTATTTCTAGGCAATCACTTCTCAAAGGAAGCCATCTATTCCCACAAAAATTGCCTATACGATGCCAGAAACATCGTTATGTTCGTAGCTCGAGTCTTGGCGGGAGATTTTATTGAGGGAAACATGATATATTCAAGCCCTCCTCTGCCGTACAACAGCTGTGTGGATACAATGCTCAATCCCTCTGTTTTTGTCATCTTCCACAATGATCAGGTTTACCCAGCATACTTGATTGAATATACTGAGCCAGACAGAGAGAAGGCCTGTGTGATTAGCTAGAGAGGATGAAGGCGGCAGCATCTGGGATGCTGATCATCTGCTCACAGAGAGGACCAAATTGCCCTAGATAATGGTCAGACTTTTCTATTTTCTCTCTAAGTTACCTAGTGTCTTAAATCAATAATTCTCAAACTTTGCTATACAAAAATTCCTATGCTGCAGTTGTACACCTTCCCACCTAAATCACTCTTTGGGGTGAAAGCCAGGCAGTATTTTTTAAAAGCTCTCCTAATGACTTCATTGTGTTGGAAAGTTTGCACTGTCTTAGCTGTGACTGATCCAGGCTGGTTTCTAAATTTTGTGTACTTATATACGTATGCCAACCATTTTCTCTCATTTACTCTTTGAGTTTACTGGGTAACATGGTTTTGATTGAGTTCAACTGGAAAAAAAAAATCAGTTTGGAAAATTTAAAAGTAAGCTAATAATGCCTGTTGAAATGAGAACAAAAGATGGTACAGCCTTGGGTGGGAGATTGTGAAAAGCTGGGAAGAAATGCATAGGTATACGCTAAGAAGAAAAGTAAAAAGGTTAACTGTAAATGCTATTGTAGACATAAATGCAGTGCTGTATCTTATCATGTGATGAAATTTATTGGGGAGCGAACTCATCTCTATTTCTACATTTATTGATGAGACAGACTCCAAAGGGTTGTATCTTTCTGGATTGCAGTCATAAAAGCCATCAAGTATGACTCAGAAAGGCCACCAACTGGAGTTAATTGTGCCTTTGGTTTCTTTATGTAATTATGGCAAAATAGACATTTATATTCTAATTAATCTAATAACAGAGAAAGCTTCCCTCCCCCCAAGTCAGGGTTTCAGGAAAGTGTCTACATTTTAGGAGAAATGAGTTGTAGTAGCCAGAATCACATAAGCATAAATTCAAGTGCTGTTGTGGTTGTTTGCATGGTAGATGAGGCTCGCTAAATGGCAGGCCTGTCTCTACAGGAGACAGGAGGGTGGGCCTCCTGTGGAGGAGAGATTTGCTTTCTGGTGAGCACAGCATTAGAACAAAGGGAACAATGTCCTAAACAGGCTTCATGCCTGCCAGGGGCTTAATTGTGTAAAGACAGTGGACTTTGTGGAATTGTCATAGTTTTTAGAACTGCTCAAGTGCCTGAACCAGGATTTCTTTCCTTGTTGTGAATTTTTCCTTCCAGTTTCCTTTCGAATTTTCCTTTTTCTACATCCTATACCATTGCCAAAATTCCTACTAGAGTTCCTTCTAACAGACATGTAACAAATAATTAATTGGCATTAGAGTTGATTTTATATTAGACTTTAGATCAGTACAAAAAGCCTCACAGTTCTCCATCAGTAAATGTAGACTTTTTTAAAGAGTATAATTGTTTTCTGAGAGCTTGCCACAAATGATTCTTCTTATTCATTTTTTTTCTGCTTGTAGTTTCCATTTTTTGACTTCGATCCTTTCACTGTAGAGGTGTAATATATGCAGCTGTTTCTGGCTGCCCAGGAGCAAGTGGATATTTCTCAGGCATCTGTGCTCCAAAATGGAAATCTGTTTGCCTCCTTCAAAGGAATCTGTGCTCGCCGCTGCCTGCCTCCATTCTTCCCTAGAGTAAATACAATCACTGGATCCACTCTGCTCAAGCAGAACCGTAGAGTCACCCTTACTCCTTGCCTTCCTCCTCATGTACATTTAAGTTGCTCCCAAATCCAGTTTTACTTCTTTTTTTGGTACTGGGGATTGAACTTGGGTCCTTGTGCTTGAGAGACAGGCACTGGAACCAGTAAGCTAAATCCCCAGCCCAGAAGAAGCTTTGTTTTTATACCAGAGATTGAACTCGGGAGGACCTTGTGCTTGCAAGGCAGGTGGTGGCACCACTGAGCCAGCCCCAGTTTTACTTCTTACATATCTTGTTGTTCCCTTCTAATCTGTTTTCCACTTAATGGCAGTTTACAATTTTACTTAATGGGGTTGCATACCCAACCTGGATCACATCTTTTGGACCATCATCACAGCCCCAAAATGATCTTTCCCTTCCCAACCCCTCTGTCATTTCTTTTCTTCTGCACAATGTATTCTTAACTTTCTGGCAGTTCTCGGTGCCCTTCCTACCTAGTTCAGTGGTTCCCGGTGAACATCTCTGCCTTTAAAAATAAATAAGTAAATACTTTGCAAGATATGCTTTATTATCCTCAGAATGCAATGGAATGGTTATATGCTCTACCTATACCTGATTCTGGGAGTAAATTAAAAATTACAACAAACTAATATTAACATAAAAGGGAAATGAAAGGCACATAATGGGCACAATATTACAGTACTATAAGACGTGAAGAAGTCAGATGCTTACACCTACTTTAAAATGAATGAACTTGAAAGTACATCAGACGCTATTATTTACAGAGAAGCATAGGAAAATGAATAAAGCGGGGGAATGAGTGGGCATTAGAAGATAGACTAGTGATACAACCACTTACTTGCATATGATGATACTTAGGTGTCTATAGAAGAAAGAACGAAATAACCTTCATTGAAATACAGATATTATGTAAGAAAATGTTTGTCGAAACAAAAAAATGAGGAAATATATTCTTTCAGACGAGCTGTGTGTCTTACATGAATGTCACCTGAGACATTCAAAATTCGTATAGGGCGCAGAATAATTTCTTACTGTGAGAAGCTATCCAGTGTATAGCACAGCGTTCAGCATATCTGGCTCTCACATGCTAAATGCTAGTAGCGCCCCCACCCTCAGCCCCAGCACGACAACCAAAACCTTACAGGCCTAGTCATCCTTTTCAGAGCAGATATTGTGTAGCAGAATCCCCTTTCTGTCCTGAGATGATTTGTAGATAATATCATCTACTTACATAAAGGAATTTCTTTACAAATTAATTGAATACACTAGTACTGTTGTAAGAGAGACAAATTTGTAATGAGAATAAAATGAATTTCATTGTGTAAATGCTCAGGCATAACTACGCTATAAGCCACCTCATAGACAGATGTTTATCCTTACATTGAATAGTTTTGGGCTTAAAAGTCGATCAGGAGCTATTGCCTATAGTACAGAAAAATGAAATATTAGAGGTATGGGTGACACTTGAATGAAAACCAGCATCAGAGTGAGTCATAACAGATCACATGGTTATCTGTCTATGCTAAAGGAAAGGGCGAAATTACCTTAACTGAAATAAGAAAAATAGGTCGAATTACAAATTGTCTCAGAAGAAACAAATGAATTAATTATATTCTCTCAGACAAGTTGTAGGTCCTACCTAAATGTCCAGCAGGACGTTAGACAGTCGTACAGGGTGCAGAATGATTCTTCATTGTGTGGGACTGATCCACACACCGTAGGACATCTGTGATCTCTGGCTGCATCTATTCAGCGATGGAATAGTCCTCAGTTTTCACGACCCACCACTTTATAATATACTACTTTATAATATACTACTGTGAGAACCACTGATATAGCTCGCATCTAGCATCCTTAGATAACTCACTTGCTATTTCCATAGCTGAGATCCTTGCCTCCAAAACCCTCAGTTTTTAAAATGCTTTGTGCCTTGATTTGTTCAAGTATCTATACACCTTAAAGTGGTTTACTTTCTGTATTAGAATGTAAGCTTAAGAGCCAAATCGATCTGTCTTACTTTTTTTGTTACACCCGCTATCCAGGCTAGCTGTGTTCTTCCTATGCTGGTGCCTTGCTAAAGCCTGTGGGATTAGTAAGCTTAACTATTTATGTTTTAGCGATCAAGTTGTATTACTTCCTGGTTTGCTTAATTTGAGACTAGTCAATAAAAAGAAAAAACTAATTGTTTTATTGCCTTTATTTGCTGTATTTGTTGGTATCTCTACCAAGGTAATCACTTGCAGATTCCAGTTTATTCAAAGGGCAGAAGAGGCAATGAGTTTTATCATTTGTTATGGTTTAGATCAAGGATGACCCCCCAACCCTCTCTTGTGCTCAGAGGCAGGGTGTTTGGAAGGTGACTGGGTTATGGGGGCGCTATAGCTGACTTGCTGTTAGGAGGACAGGTCTGATTAGAGCTGGGTCACTGGGGTTGTAACCTAGAGGAGCATGTCTTTCTTTTTGCCTCCTCCTTTCTCTGCTTCCTGGCCGCCATGACATAAGCAACTTTCCTCTGCCCAGACTGTTCCACCATGGTCTTTCTGCCTTTGAACCTGCTAACATGTACTGAAACTTCTGAAACCATGAGCCACATAACCATCTCCTTGTTTATGTTGTGAGTGTTGGGTATCATGTCTCAGCCACCAGGATTTGATGAGCAAGGAGCAATATAGTCTTTAGCCCACTGAGGAGATGACGGAGAAGCCTACAGTTGGCCGGCACATATTTGAGTGCTGCCAGCTGCTCACATACCACCCCTATTCCTGTCCCAGGGTTGGCAACAGGGCCACACTTTAACAAACGATAAAAGTATAAATGGTTATCAGCTGAATTATCCAATCAGCCAGTTTTCAATGCGTTCTTTTCTAAATTACAAAACTTTGAATGGAGAAAGCATGGGGGGGGTGGGCAACAGATATGGCAGCATGGATTTGATAAAGTGAAGGCAAAACTATCATTTGATTTGGACCACAGTATAAATAAGACAGCAAATCAATTTCTGTCCGAACACTTGTATTCAAATACACAAAAATGCATCAAACCAAGCTTAAGCAGGTATTTGAGGGCCTTAATAAATTATTTTTCTATGTGTGTGCTTGTTTTCTGTGTGTATTTTTCATCACAGCAGGTTTCCAGTAAAATCTGCCATTATCTGGTTTCTGGAGTGGAATCTTCAGTCCACCCCTTGGTAGAAGGAAGCAAAGCTAAATAGCTGCTTTCTGTCCCCACTTAGCTACTGTAAAGATTACCACCATGAAAGGCAGTGGATGCCAAGTGGGTGGTGTGTGTGCAGGGCCACTGGGGTTATGACTGAGGACTACCTGGCTTCAAAAGCACAGGGCAGATAGCGGGCAGACTTTGTTTAGAAGATTAAAGATAGACGGGATGAATTTGTAAGTAACACCAGTGTAAGTTCCCAGTGTGACTTACTCAAAATCTGTGCCACAGAAGTGTGCCTGAACAGGAACAGGAGCTTCAGAATGGGAGCAGCAAAGGAATTTTTTTTTTTTTTTTTTTGAGACAGAGTCTCACTATGTAGTTGAGAATGACCTGGAACTCACTATGTAGCTCAGGCTGGTCTTGAACTCACAGCGATCCTGATCCTCCTGCCTCATGCTGGGATTACAGGCATGCGCCACCACGCCTGGCTCTCAGAAGAGGAATTTTTAAGGAACTGCTTAAACCCTAAAGCTCCAATCCTAAAATGCCACCTCCAATCTCAACCTGTTTCTCTTTTCCTTTCCCTTATGAACCTGCCTGGCCTCTGCTTTTTTCCCCCCAAACTCCAAATTCTCCTCTAGTCTGCTCTGAGACCTTTTCTTTCCCCCGCTCTGCAAGTTTCCTTGTGAATGAGCTAATTGATCCCCAGACTTCAGCTGTCAGCCATGGAACAGTTTGCATCAGAGATGTTCCCTAATGGTCACATCGAATGAAGGTTTGGTCCTCAGCTTGGCAGTACTGCGCCTGACACTCACTTTTCTGTAATCTTCTTGGTCCAACTCTTGGGCTGGGTTCTGTCAGAAGCAAACAGTTTATTTGGAAGGTGAATCTGAAATACTGGTAGGGAACAAGGAGGTCAGACATGGGAAGGAGTAAGACAGCATAGGAACAGCTAATCAGCAAGTTGTGGCCATGGGCAACTTGGACTCAACCCCACTGAGGAACTTCCGGAAAGCATGGACTCCGACTTCCTGGTTGTTTCATGAAGGAATAATAAGCTGGGCAATTTATCCACTCCTGAGGAAACTTCCTGTACCTTCTTAGGTTCAGTAGGGGTGTGTGTGTGTGTGTGTGTGTGTGTGTGTGTGTGTGTGTGTGAATTTAACTGATAGGAGAAAAAAACCAAAACCAGTTTATTCATGTGCTTATGGAGCACACAGAAGTGACTCCCCAAAATCGTTGAAGATGAAGATTTGGGTACAGCTTAATTGAAGGAGAAAGAAGGGGTAGAATGGCTTCTATGGGAAGAACAAATGGGTTTCTAGGGGAGCAAAGCAGAGATAAGGAAGTCGGAGATAGTGCTTGTTTATGCAGGCTCAGGGGTATCTTCTCCTTCCTTCACTGCTATAAAACTGCCCTGGCAGGAGACCCATGTAGCCTCCATTCTCAGAAGCTTCCGCTTTTAGTACTATGAAGAAATGGTTTCTTTCTGCAACCATTGAATCTCAAATGTCTTTCGTATAAAATAATCTCATAAATAAACATCATGGACCTCTTCCAAGTGGGGAACCTACCTCTGGGGAAGTCAGAAAGTTGCTGAGAATACACTGAGCCCAGAACTGAATGACACAAAGGAGAACTCCATCAGTTGTTCTGCCGACTGCCGTGCAAGCACAAGAGCTCAAGTTTGATCCCCGGCAAAAAACAAAGGAGAACTCTGCGTGCACACACTAGGCACAGCACATGTTGCTACCCAGCTAAAAAGCCTTCAGTGACTCCCCAAAGTCCTTGGATACATGCATGTCCCATGTTTCCTAGCAAGTCAGTCTTCTGGCATCTGAGCAGCTGTCTTCTCTTCAGTTTCTTGATAGGACGGGACATTGACTCATACAGTACTCACCGGCACCTTGTAAGACACTAGTAAGGCAGGCTGCAGCCCCATACCTTATTTATCTTTGTATTCTGTCATTAAATGAGCATGCTGTGGCTGGCATGGTGGCGTCATCCTCAGGAGGATCACTGACTTCTAAACTAGACAGTGAGTTCAAGGCTAACCTGAAGTACGTAGTGAGAACCTGTCTCAAAAACCAAACCAAACCAAACAGGCATGCTGTTGGGCACAAATAACATATGCTTAGCACATGTACAGGTGTACATGTGTAATTCAACATGTTCTGGCCTGGGGATGCAGTTCAGTGGTGGAGTGCTTGCACGAGGCCCTGTTTCCACCTCCAGTATCACAAAATAAAATACAACAAAATAAAATTGTCTTATTGCTACACAAGAAAAGTAGACGAGGGCCAGGGATTTGGCTCAGTGGTGCCTGCCTGCCTCACAACACAAGGTCCTGGGTTCGATCACTAGTACCGAAAAAAAAAAGATAAAACAAGACTATGTCATACTTAACCAAATATATATCCCCAATAGTATCCATTTTACTTGTGATCCACATACATGTATTGAGATTTTTAAAAACTGTTAACGTTGCGAATCCAGTATGTGTGTTCTCCATTTACATCACATCTGAACTAGGACAGACCACGGCTCAGAAGCGGCTGCAGCCACCTCACTAACGACCATCTCCCGCCAGCCACCTAAAGCGGCCGTGCCACCTTTCCCGTCTCATCTTCTTCGCAGACCTCGCAGTGCCACCGACGACTTCATTTGCTTCGCTGTTTTCTGAGACTCCGGCTCTACGAGGCCCTGAGGGCGAGGGCTCACCTCTTCGATGCCAGCGCGGCCCTGCGGAACAAAGCGGTCCCCGCTCAACTGCTGCGCAGGCGGCCTGGCGCTC